TATCCTCAAAGGTTTAAAGTGAGGTACCCTCCCCCGTACTCACTGATACTATTGCCTATTATTTATATGGAAATAAGCATACACCGACAGTGGGGTTCAGTATGTATGATCCTTAACGAATGAAATGGCGAACCTAACTATTAAGATCATATATAACGCGCACTTTACATGTATTTTAACATCATGAACCATGTAGTGTGCTGAGGTACATATCGTTTAACTTTGTTATCTATGCAATACTCATAAAACTTGGTTTCCTAGTGGATATTATTATAGTGAAGAGAGTGTGTGGGCCGAAAAAAAGGCTGAATTCTTCCGAAGCGTTCGGATTTGAGTGTACTCTATTGAATATCTGCATTTTATATATTATTGTTTCATTTTATTTTATTTTTTTGCTGCGGAAATGTACTAATTTAATTTATCGAGCATACTCACTAAAAATTTATTAAAGGAAAGGTAATCAAATCAGTAAATAATAATATAATTGTAGCTGTTTAATAATAAATAAACAACTGAGTAGGAATCACGTGAGTGAACATGCAGTATACTCAAATGAGATTATTGAAATTTATTTTGAATATTATCTAAAGGCGAAAGTTTTATGATGAATGTATCCAAAATGTAAGCAAATTTTAGAATAACTACTCTTCATATAGTCTCGGTTTCTCTGTCTCTGTCTATCTGTGTCGGTTTCAATGTTCTCACTCTACTATTACTATTCACCATTCACATTCACATAATATATATTGAATTACTATTATTACTCTATTCTATCTCTCTTCTCCCTTTCATCTCTCTCTATATCTATCTCATTATTACTCCATCTTTCCATCTTTACTCCTTACTCTCTATCTTTATACTCTACTTCTACTCTCTGCTCTCTCTCGTCTCTATCTCTATCTTTGATATCTCTCATTACTTTTATCGTCTTATACTTACTTTCTACCATCTCACCGCACTCTATCACCATCGTCTTTCCTCTCTCTCTCTCATCCATCGCACATCACCATCAATCATCTCACTCACATCACCCCCCCCCCCCCCCCCCCCCCCCCACCACACCCCCCACTATCACCCCCCCCCATACCCCCTCACCTACCTCTCTTCTATTATTCCTCTCTCTATACTCTCTCTCTATCTCTATCTCTCTCTCTACTCTTACTTATCTCTCTTTCTCCTCTTTATCAATCTGTATTAGTATATGCATTCTACTCTCTCGATACTCAGATAGATCACCTACCACACACAACATTAAACATTCTCCATATTTCATTCACATCATATCTCATTACATCATTTCAATACATACCACTACATACATCTTACCATCACTACTTACATCTATCTATCACTCCTCCTCTTTCACTCTTCATCTTTCCTCACTTCACTCATCATCACTATCCTCTTCAATTCACATTCACAACTACTAATCATGTTGCAATATTACTCATACTCACTATCTCATCTCTTCATTACTCATATATATTATATACTATACATACATTATATATTTGCTGTATAATACAGATATATATATATTCTCATATATATATATATATACTATATATAATATATACCTTATATATATATACATATATAGTATACATTACACCACATACATCATATATTTATACATATAATTAATGTATACTCTTACAGATATACTATATATATATATATTCCTATTATATATTATATAATATTACTATATTGTATGTATTTTCATACGTAGTAGGTAATTACTTCTTCTCGGTCTCACTATTTTCATTCTCTTTCTTGCTCTACTTTCGTCTCTCTCTTATTTCTCTCTCTTCTCTCTCTCTCTTCTCACTCACATCTTCACTCTTATACACTCTCAACTTTACTACTATACTCTCATTACGTAACTTCTTCACTAATCTCACTCATTCTTACCCATCTCTTACTTACGTTTCTCTCTCTTTCTGTGAGTTACTCTTTCCTTACTCTTATCTACTTCTCTCTCTCTCTTCACTTTTTCTACTTATTTATTCTCTCTCACTTCCCACCTCCCGTTCGTCCTCCTCCTTCTCAACTCACGTCCTTGCACACCACACAAGCTAATATCACGTAGCCATGATACACATTAATATTTCATTACCTTCCATTTCTACTTATACTCCATTACATTCAATCATCTCTACCATATCATTCTCTATCTCCTGGCGGCCTACTCCTTTACTCCTATCCACTACTTACTATTACTACCTCCTCCTACCTCTATACTCATACACCTGGGCCTTATACCCTCCTTACCTCCTCCTCCTTCTCCTCTACTCGTTCTCCTCATTATACCTCCTCCTACTCTCCTCCTATTATATTATTATATATGGAGTATGTGTGTGTGTGTGTGTGTGTGTCGTGGGTGCTCGTCGTTGCTGGTGCTGTGCTGTTCTCGTCTCGTACTTACCTCCATATATCCAACTCAGGGCCTCCTCACTCACTTCTCGCCTCTCATCTTTCAGGTACCCCTTCACTCTCACTCCTTCTCCCCTTCACTCTCTCCATCTCCCTACCGGCTTACCCACCCCTTTATTTTATATGGTCTATCGGGTTTCTAATTACTTTTTTTCATCACTCCTTTATATATGTTTTACAGCTCCTTCTGAGAAGCTAGCAACTGTTATAAACATATAGAATTTGCATTTTGAGGCATATTACTGTTGCTACTGTGATTGCAGCTTTGGTTCGACAGCAAGAGACATACCTGCTTTTATTTTGTATAGGACTTTTCTGATTCAGAATGAAGATTTCATAGATAGGTCCATACCAATAAATTATACATCCATACTTTGGGTACTCCATGTGAAGTATTAGTTTCATATCATTTCTTTAAATGGTATATGCTTGTAATCTCCAATGGATGTATTCGCTCACCCGATGCAAACACACATCTGTATTCAACTCGCACCACCCATCCTGGTTCCAATAGACCACCGATTCCGGAGCTCGAGCACGGCGCGCGAAAGCTAAGGTTATCCCGGTGCCGACGTCTAAGTCCTTACCGCGGCCGCTTCGGGGGATGCCAGCATACGGGGCGATGTCCTCAGACAAAGCTAAATCCTCGGTATTCGGTTCACTCCGTGTGGTCCGACAGTCCCTCCGCTCGCCAGACAGGACCTGTCCGGGGTCCGAATCAGTATGTTCCCTCGCTAATATTTGTGTGGTCTTCTTCTTCTTTTTGTGCTTCTGTATTTTGTGTTTTTTACGAAATATTTCTAATGTTTAGTATATATTTGTGTATGTATGTACGTTTTTTTGGTATAATATTCGGTTGTAAAGGTCTTTCCTATTCTTAAATTGGTGTTTTTTTTTTTTTTTTTTTTTTTTTTTTTTGTTTTTTTTTTTTTTGTTTTTTTTTTTTTTTTTTTTTTTTGGTTCCCGGTTTTTTTTTTTTTTTTTTTTTTTTTTTTTTTTTTTTTTTTTCCTTTTTTTTTTTTTTTTTTTTTTTTTTTTTTTTTTTTTTTTTTTTTTTTTTTTTTTTTTTTTTTTTTTTTTTTTTTTTTTTTTATTTTTTTTTTTTTTTTTTTTTTTTTCCAACCCCTCCCCCTTCTTCCAATATCCTCCGGGGTGTCAAGCCCTCGGTGCCCAGGATCCCCGGTTCACCGGGTCCCTCAAGGGGTCCAAGGACCCTCCGGTGCCAAATCCCAAGCCATGGCACCGGGGAAGTCAGCCGCAGCGTTTTTTGAAAGTAGCCGTTGTTTGTGGTGAACGTCACGTGTGTGTGGGAGGGAAGATGAAGAAGGAAGAAGAGGGAGGAGGAAGAAGGAAGAAGGGGGAGAGAAGAAATAGGAGGAAGAAGGGGGAGGGAGGAAGAAGGTTGAGGGAGGAAGAAGAAAGAAGAAGGGGGAGGGAGGAGGAAGAGAAGGAAGGAGGAGAAGAAGAAGCAGAAGGAGAAGGAGAAGGCGGCGGAGGCGGCCGTCGTCTTCCCGACGCGGTTCCTCGACCCGGACCGTTAGCACCTCTCCCTCGGCGAGTCCGCAACGGTTGCCGACGCCAGACAGCCGCTCCGCCCCGCCCCCTTCGCCTTCATCATGACTTATCACGCGTCGCTTATGAGGAGAGATTCGGGATTGATTGATTGGGAGATAATCTGTCGGGAGATTCGATGACTGCAATGCTTTCTTGCTTTGGCTTGGAAGGAAGTTTCTATTTTTTCTTTTATAATTAATCTTCCAAGGTGGTGGGAGGGTGATACGAGGTGTAGATGTGTATATATATATATTTCTTTTTGTTGCATGGTAGTAACTTTTACTTGCATGCGATCTCTCGTGATTGCACGCACCTGTCCGCGAATTTTCACATGCATAAGTAATCAGTTGTTATTTTCTGTCTGTTTAAGATTTAATAATTTATTTTTGTTTGATCATAATCATCATCATTATAATCCATATAATTGATAATATAATAATTATTATTATTGTTGTTTGTTTTTTATTATATAATTATTATTATCATCATCATCATTATTATTATTATTACGACTATTATTACTATTATTATTATTGATATTATCATTATCGTTATTGTTATTGTTATTGTTATCATTATTGTTATTGTAATTCTTAAGATTATCATCTTTGTTGTTGCTCTAAGGAAGAGATCAGGGATAAATGACAGTCAAGGGGGGGAGGGGAGTTGGAAAAGGGGAAATCAGGGGAGAGGGAAGTAGGAAAAGAGGAAATGAGATAATGGGGAAATTTGGGGAAGGGGAAATCAAGGGAAGAGGAAATCTGGGAATGGGGAAATAGGAGGTGGAGGAGAGGGAGGAGAGGAGAGGAGGATCAGGGAGAAGAGAATTCGGAGAAACGGGAAGTCAAGAAAACGGGGGAAGTCGGTGAAGAGGGAAGTCAAGAAGGAGGAAATCAGGGAAAGGGGAAAGGTCCAGCCCGCGGTTGCGCAGGAGCCGCAGCAAAGCCTTCCCCGGCGAGCGTTGCAAGCCCCCCAGCCACCACTGCTCTCGTTGCAGCCCCCACCCTCAAAGACTTTCCACAACGGGGGGGCTTTCTACGCGACAGCTTTGCACGGTGCACTGTTCTGCATAAGAAAATGCATATCAGCCGCACCACATGTTCCCGCTTTGGTCTCGAGCGCCTCCGTGGCCGCGAGTTGGAGGTGGTCTTTCTCCTGGGGTTTTCTCGATTTTCCTCTGGGTGGGAGAAGAGGCGGGGGAGGGAATCCGTCCTTTTGTGGTGGAAGAGAGGGGCGTCTGGAGCGCTTGGGGAAGAAATATGAGATGAGTGAGAATGAATTATTTTAGGATTTAAAAGAGAGGGGCGTCTGGAGCGCTTGGGGAAGAGATATGAGATGAGTGGGAATGAATCATTTTAGGATTTAAAAGAGAGGGGCGTTTGAGCGCTTTATGAGATGAAGTGGAATGATTTAGGATTAAAAGAGAGGGGCGTTTGGAGCGAGGAAAAAATCGTTTTATGATTATAAGAGATGCTTTGAGGTGTTTGCAGATGAGTAGAATGAGTTATTTCATTTATAAAAAAGAGAGATGCATTTGAAGCGTTTGTTGAGAGATATGAATGAGGAAAAATAATTTTATGATACAAAGGAGAAGCTTTTGAGGCGCAGGAACTGTGTATGAATAATTTTTATGATAAAAGAGAGATGCATTAGAGGCGTTTGTAAAAGATAGATGAATAAGAATGAATCATTTTATAAAAGAAAAGATATGTTTTAAGCGCTTGAGTGTGAGATTTTCATGAGAATTACATCTAATGTATACAGCAAGTCATTTTGAGAAAGGTTTAGCATCACAGCGGCTTAATTACACTTCAGTTACACCTCCCTCCCCCTCTCTCCCTCTCTCTCTCTCTCTCTCTCTCTCTTCTCTCTCTCTCTCTCTTCTCTCTCTCTCTCTCTTCTCTCTCTCTCTCTCTCTCTCTCTCTCTCTTCTTTTTTTTTTCTTTTTCTTTTGTGTGTACGTTGTCATCATTCTTCAGTTGATTTTTTTGGGGGAGAAATGATTTGCATCGCGTGTGGCTCTTCATGTTCACATGTTCAGGTCAATTTCGGTTCTTTATTGCGAATGTGGTGATGTACGTTTTGTACTGCATTTGCATGTTCCAGTTTTTATTTTCTCTCTTCCCTTTTTTCCTCTTTCTCTCTCCTCTATTCTTCTTTCTCTGTCTTTCTCTTGCTCTCTCTTTCTTTTCTCTCTTTTCTCTCTTTTTCTCTTTTTTTTTTCTTTCTCTTTCTCTCTCTTCTCTCTTTCTCTCTCTTTCTCTCTTCTCTCTCTTCTCTGTCTTCTCTGTCTTCTCTCTCTCTCTCTCCTCTTCTCTCCTCTCTCTTCTCTCTCTCTCTCTCTCTCTCTCTCTCTCTCTCTCTCTCTCTCTCTCTCTCTCTCTCTCTCTCTCTCTCTCTCTCTCTCTCTCTCTCTCTCTCTCTCTCTCGTTCACGCACACACACTGCAATTGAGTTATTTGAATGATAAAAGACACACACACACACACACGCCCACGCCCGATATGGCACAGTATAGCCCGCGGATCTGTCGTCCCCAGAGCGGCGGCCGCCCGTCACGCCCCGACGGCAGGTGCGAAAGCCAGCTGCCGACGGGGCTTTGCAACAGCGAGCGTGCGCGTGCGTGGATTGCCATCTCCTGGAAAGTGAAAATGTGCAACTGCGGCCAGAACGACACCTGCTGCGCGCTGGTTAGTGAGCGTTCTCTCTCGGCCTGTCGGGTTGGCTTCTCTCTCGGTCTGTCGGGTTGGCTTCTCTCTCGGTCTGTCGGGTTGTCTTCTCCCTTGGCTTGTTAGGTTGGCTTCTCCCTCGGCCTGTTGGGATGGCTTCTCCCTCGGCCTGTCGGGATGGCTTCTCCCTCGGCCCCGTCGGGTTGGCTTCTCTCTCGGTCTGTCGTTGGCCTTCTCTCGGTCTTCGGGTTGTCTTTCCCTTGGTTGTTGGTTGGCTTCTCCCTCGGCCTGTTGGGATGGCTTCTCCTCGGCCTGTCGGGATGGCTTCTCCCTCGGCCTGTCGGGTTGGCTTCTCCCTCGGCCTGTCGGGTTGGCTTCTCCCTCGGCCTGTCGGGATGGCTTCTCCCTCGGTCTGTCGGGATGGCTTCTCCCTCGGCCTGTCGGGTTGGCTTCTCTCTCGGTCTGTCGGGTTGGCTTCTCGGGTCTGTCGGGTTGGCTTCTCTCGGTCTTCGGTTGGTCTGTCTGTCGGGTCGGGGGCTTTCCCTCGTCTGTCGTTGGGCTTCTCCTCGGCGGCGCCTGTCGGGTGTTGGCTTCTCCGCCTCGGCCTGTCGGAGAGAAAGGAAGAGGAGGATGCGCACGAGGAGATAGAGAAGAAGAGGGAGAGAGACGAGGAAAGAGGAGGAGAAGAGACAGTAAAGGAGAAGAAGAAGGAGAGAAGAGACACTAAGAAGGAGAGAAGGAAGAGAGACAGAAAGAGCAAGAAGGAGAGAAAGCA